GTCAATTATCCGTGTACAAAATATTTATAAAAATACATATATAAATAATATGAATAAGATATATAATAATATATACCACTTAAACAATTTTAATGGTGTAAAATAAATATTTTTATGTTATTCCAAACGAAAAAGTCCAAATAACTCAGTCCATCAAACAATCGCCACACGAGAAAACTTGTGCCAAAATAAATGATATATAAATGTGTGGTGCTCCCCTCTCAGGCGTGCCCTCACCAAAAAGTGTTGCCTCCCACTCTCATTGTTGGCACACTGAGCTTTGATTAATGATATCCCAAGGACTAGATCAGATCACTTGTGATATTATGTTCTCAAACTTGCGACAATGGAATCCCAGGACAAACGTTCCCGATCTCCAGAACATACATTCCTCCTCCCAATGCTCCACTCACTGCTAGATAGATCCATAGCTTGGAAGTTCCACTGGTGAATCTCTTCTTCCTGCTGCTACTGCCGTTCTGCTTTCTTCATCACATGACAAGTCCTCTCTGTGTGGTAGGCCCTTGCATGACATCTTTCACATTATTAATTCCATTTATAAGGGCTGATCTCATCAAAAGTGGACACTTCTCCTACTGGTGTAACTGCTTAGTGCTGATCCTCAGAGCTTACCTACCTGATAAATATACAGTATGGCAGAGATCTCAGGACTTCCTTGTGAAGCTCCTCTGAAGGATTGGCAGATAACCAATTTTTCTACAATGGCCATATCTTATCTGAGCACACTTATGCAGGCTATAGACGTGTCTAAAACCGTCCGTTTAAAAAAGAAAAAAAAAATCGGTTGTTCAATAGGCCGACGTTACCACCAACGTTAAAAAAAATCGGCCGATTTTCTTCCCGTCTACGGCCGGCATTTAATGACTTCTGTCCCTTCCAGAGAGCTCCGCTATTATATTTGACATGAAAAAGTATTGCGGTTGTAACAATGTATCTATTTGTATCCATTTCAGATACAGATGTTTTTATTCGGATACATTGTTGCAACCGCAATTCTTTTTCATGTCAAATATAATAGCGGACTGGAATTCTTCTTTTTCTTTTTTCTTCTTTTTTTTCTTCTTCTTTTTCCTTTTTTTTTTCTTCTTTTTTTCTTCTTCTTCTTCTTCTGCATCTTCTTTTTTTGCTTCTTTTTCCTCTTCTTTTTCTTCTTCTTCTGCTTCTTTTTCTTCTTCTTCTTCTTCTCCTTCTTCTTTTTCTTCTCCTTCTTCTTCTTTTTCTTCTCCTTTTTCTTCTCCCCTTCTTCTTGTTCTTCTTTTTCTTCTTCTTGAAGGTCGCGGCTCATGCGCAGATTTTTTTATCGGTAAAACGATAGGCCGATTTGCCCATCATTGCTGGGAAAATTAGACGATCGGAAAAATCGGCCGATTTTTTTCCAACTTTACCAATACAAATAATGTGCCAAAACCCCCAAAAATGGCCGACCAATTAACACATTAACGGTGCAAAAATCAGCCGATATTTTTTTTTCAGCTGAAAAATCCGCCGATTTTCGACCCGTCTATGGCCTGCATTAGCCTTTAGTAAGCATTATTTTATACTGGGGCAGGTGAAGAATGTTTACCTATATTAGTTCAAAAGTCAGTTTGTGGTTCCAGCAAAGCATTGACCTGTTTTGCATGTGTGGTATGTGGCGGATGAGGCTTCACTGCATCAGTGTCAGCCGCGGGCAGCCTGTAGCGGAACGCAGACGGGATTTACTGTCACCAGGGAATATAAAGGTGTTGTAAGTGACTTGCTTAAATAAGCTTGCTGGTAAAGCTATAAATGCAGATTTGTGATCTGAAAGACAAGGCTTTAACAACAAATCATTTTGCAGCCAGCTTTGCCTGAATATAATAAAAATGAAGTTTACTTACAAGTAACACCTAGTGAAAGTATATAGACACTGTGCAATGGAATTTATTATCTTTTTATTTCAAGGCCAGTTGACTTGTTCAAATAAACTCAGTGCTTGGAACAAAATAGAAATTGGGAAATATAACACGTTTGATTCTGCTGAGATTTTCAGTTTGAAGCTGCAGTACCGGCCTTGCCTGGATTTTGGGTGGTGCCATATTTACTGTACTTTATGGCAAGTTGGAGGAACTTTAGTTGTTTACTTTAGAGGAGCATTTCACATTTCTTTTAAGGTTTGAATCCTTCAACATTGTGAATGCATTGCAAGTAAATGGAATACTGTTGAGGAGTGGTGCAGCTCTATATTTGCATGTGAAGCTATAATATCTCTGTAGGCACCGAGGTAAATAATAATGTTCTCATTTTAATGTATCCCACTTGACTAGTAGTCTAGCAGCACATATGGACTCACATGTTTACAGATGTCATCTTGAGACAGTAAAACGGTCAGATGCATCTCTTCTGTTGTCTCATTGCTGCCTTTTGCAAATAGTGCACATCTTGGCTGATAGCGCACTTCTGATTTAATCTACGGAGAATTAAGATTGGTATACATATACCAATCGTGCTGAACCAGCTGAGTTTCAGTATTTGTGCAGCCCTGTCTGTTCATCAGAAATAAGCAGCTTCTTTTGAACAGTCTTGCTGGGAAACCAGCATTTGATCAGCAGCTGTAGCCAATGGCACTAATCAGCATACTATGGTGGAGGGGGAAAGGCAGCTAATTTCACTTACCCTAGGTTCACATCTGTGCGGGTTGTGCCTCTGTGGATCCGCATGAAAATCCGTGCAGCTGCACCACCCGCACAGAGAAATGCAGACCCGCGGGCGGGTACCATGAATTCTAATGGCACGCCGCCCGCACTGGAAAACGCAACTGTACTGGGAACCGAGGTTCCTGTGCGGGCTGTGTTTTCAAAATAAGTGCAGGGACTTCTTCCCTGCCTGTCATGGGCACGGGAGTCCATTCAAATGAATGGGCTCTCATGCCCGTGCAAAACGCGGCACGCACGGCGCATATATGTGAACCGGGGGTTAAAGAGGAACTTCACCTTGTCTAAGCCCTGGTTCACACTGATGCGGAATTCGCAGCACTGTCAGTGCAAATTCCACAACGCATCACAATCACACCCCATTTATATGAACCAATGCGGGTGTGTATGTTAACAACACCCCCCGGCATCAGTCTCCAAAACAGGGCGCAATGTGCAGAATCGGATCGCATGGGTATGAATACCTATGCGATCCGATTCTAGTGTGGACCAAAAAAGGGTCCTGCGCGTTTTTGGTGCGGGGGCAGTGCGAATAGAGCCAAAATGTATAGCTCTGATCGCACCGCATACAAATCGCATGGGATTTGTACAGGAGTGCGGTTCCTCTGTGTCAGAGCTCCAGGTATGACCAGAGGTGTGTGGGCTGACACAGGGAAACGCAGGCTTCAGATATGGTATAAACAATATAATTTATTAAGACTAACAATACAAAACGCAGTGCAAAACTAAACATAAACACAGTGCAAACAAACCAAACCACCCACCGATAACAATACATACAATACAAAGAGTAGTCAGGCAGGCTGGGTCAGTAGCAAATGGGCAAATGGAGTACCAGGAACAGGCGGGAGAGTGGTCGGGGTCACAAGCCGGGTTCAGTAACTCACGAGCAGCGTGGTACAGAGGGTCGGGCAGAGAATGGTCAGGGTCACAAGCCAGGGATCAAGCAGGAGAAGTCAGCAAAGGTCAGGATCGGCAACAAGTCAGACAGGAACAGGAAAATACAGGATACAAGGTACAGGGGCCCATGGAAAAACACACACCAAGGCCCTGACTGTGAGTCTGGCCATTCCTTAAATACAACCCCAGCAATCAGCTTCAGGTGTTTGGCTGATTGTAGGGGTGAGTCTCTGATTGCTGAGAGCACCCGCTGGCCAGCCCTGGTACTGCAGCCCACAAGGCAGGTGAGTCCCACCATTATTGGCAAGTCCATTCCTGACACTGTGCAAATCACATGGGATTTACCGCACAGCTGTAGTGTGAACCTACGCTTAAAGTGGTAGAATACCCAAACATAAACTATTCCTAAAAATGTTTACTGCCGTCCTCCTACTTATCCTGCCAAACCTGTATACAAAAGATCTATATAACTACAGTACCTATTTTTCAATCCAGTCACGGGACTCTACAGCTCTGTGTAAGGGAATGCTTGACTGTAGGTCTGATTTCCAGGAACCATGATGTCACCCATAGGCTTCCTGCAGCAGCCACTCACTGACACAGAGGAGCTGGAGCTGCAGGATCAAGTGACCGGATCAGTTTAAAAATAGGAGGAAGAATAAACATTTTTAAAGAATACGTTCACCTTTTAACAAAACCTAATAAATACACTTTTTTGCAGGTAAAAAAAAAATGTGCATTTACTTTTTTTTTGTTTTGGGAGTCTGGAAAGCATTGTACCAGCAAACAGCAGATTGCTTGTGCCATGCAGGACTCCTGCAGACCTGTCAGTGTATATATGTGCCCGTACCTCATATGGGCATGCAGATCCACTCTGACAGGAAGAATCAATGAACCACCACAACGCTCAACAGCGCCGCGGAAATTCATTCAGGACTATAAGCTAATATCCACAAAGGCTGTCGGAACGTTTAGTTTTGCCATTCACAGAATACTGTAAAGGAGTGACGTGGCCAGGTGGGTATTACACTTTGAATATGGGTGTAACATGTTACAAAAGGTGAATTTATCCTTTAAGAATCATGGTTAGGCTTTTCTTCCATTATAGGTTTTATCCCTTCTTACCTTTTATGCTGGGTTGTCTGTAATAATTATACTCAGGCCCAGTGAATCCAGTGTTGATCTGTTGTGATCTGTTGCTCAGCATACCAGGTCTTGTGCTGCCATCTTCATCTTTGACGTCACCAGGAGGTGATTGTTCTGTCTAGAATTTTACAACCTGCCCCTGATGATGCGCCCATTTTCATTTCTCCTCCGATGCTGTATGCCTCTGCTGATGCCTGCAGACTGATTTCATTCTCACCTTTGGGTGACCATAAATTAAAAAAAAGTGTTACTTGTTGTGTAACCCCACAACACTAAAATCAGTCTGTAAATGCAGTATAGCATGCTTGTTATACTCCCTGTGAAACCTAAGGGGTTAATCCTCTGGATTGTGTAAAAATGCTGTTTGATCCTGACTTCTCTGATCCTCCCCTTCTTCCAGTGTCCCCCTCTTATCTCCTGATAAGACATATCTTGTGGTGTCACTATGCACATGCTCAGTTTTGGTGTGTATTGCTAGAGAGGTTTTTGTTTGCTTGTGAAAGTGCATGTGATCAGAACAGGGCCAATTAGCACTGTCCAGACAGAGGTCAGAAGTTCTGCATCTTCCTAGAGCAAAACAAATACTCCTACAAGCTGTAACAAGTGCTCTGCTGAACACTGATAGAAGTCACAAGACTGCTAGATACTGCTGATGAAAAATGGTACAGTAATACCTCAGTTCACGAACTTAATCATTCCTTGACTTTGGTCGCAAACCGAGGCAAATTTTCCCATGTAATTTTCAATGTAAATCAGGTTAATCTGTTCTGACCCCTATGAACGTGGTCGAGAACCGAATTTGGTTGTCAACTGAATAACATTTTTCCATAAGGTTCAATGTAAATAAGGTTAATCTGTTCTGAACTTTTTGTTTGTTTTTGAACCACAAAAATATGAAACAAAGTAAAGTACAATACAGTATGAAGAGAGAGAACACTAACCTTGCTTGAGATCTCCTTCAGGGCTTTCTTCTCTTCTTTGTCTCTTAGCTGTAGGCTCAGTTTTGGTGAAAAATCTATCCAGTGTCACTTGTTTTTTCCTGCTCTGCATAACCCTTCGGAAATGAGAGACTACATTATCGTTCATCAGATTCCACACTCTGCTCATTACAGTTATGTTGGGGTGGTGCTTCTGGTCACCTTCATTACCACTATGCACTTTCTTTTTAACAACATGCTTGCTCTGCACACTCTTGTCACCTTCATTACCGCTTTGCACGTTCTTGTCACCTTCATTACCGCTGTGCACATTCTTGTCACCTTAATTACCGCTCTGCACGTTCTGGCCACCTTCGTTACCGTTCTGTACGTTCTGGTCACCTTCATTACCGCTCTGCACGTTCTGGTCACCTTCATTACCGCTCTGCATGTTCTGGTCACCTTCATTACCGCTCTGCACGTTCTGGTCACCTTCATTACCACTCTGCACGTTCTGGTCACCTTCATTACGGCTCTGCACATTCTTGTCACCTTCATTACCGCTCTGCTCATTTTTTTCACCTTCATTACCGCTCTGCACGTTCTTGTCACCTTCATTACCGCTCTGCTCGTTCTTGTCACCTTCATTACCGCTCTGCATGTTCTTGTCACCTTCATTACCACTCTGCTGGTTCTTGTCACATTCATTACCGCTCTGCACATTCTTGTCACTTTAATTACCGCTCTGTACATTCTGGTCACCTTCATTACCACTCTGCACATTCTGGTCACCTTCATTACCGCTCTGCACATTCTGGTCACCTTCATTACCGCTCTGCACATTCTTGTCACCTTCATTACCGCTCTGCACATTCTTGTCACCTTCATTACCGCTCTGTACGTTCTGGTTACCTTCATTACCGCTCTGTACGTTCTGGTCACCTTCATTACCGCTCTGCACATTCTTGTCACCTTCATTACTGCTCTGCATGTTCTGGCCACCGTCATTACCGCTCTGTACATTCTTGTCACCTTCTTTACTGCTCTGCATGTTCTGGTCACCTTCACTACTGCTCTGCAATTTCTTTTCAACAACATGCTTGCTTGCTGCACATTCTTGTCACCTTCAGTACCACTCCGCACTTTCTTCTTACCACAATGCTTGCTCTGAATTTTTCATTGGAGCCATACTGGATGTCAGGTACAGTATGTGCTAAAAAGCACACAAAAAAGCTTTACAGCAGGTGTGCACATGGATGTACAGTATGTGCTAAAAAGCACACCAAGAAGCTTCTCAGTACTGTAAGTGTCTTCACAGTACACTTTCTGTGTCTGTCTGTGACCGCAATCTCGCCTACAGGAAGTCAGGACCACGTGTCAGAGAAGGCAAGATGGCCGCAGCTCGTGTTTGTCAACCAAAGTGGAGTTTAGGAACCAAAATTGTTGCAAACTCCTCTGTTCGCGAACTGAGGTGTTCGTGAACAGAAGCGTTTGTGAACCGATGTATCACTGTATTTATCAGTTTATATTTACTAAAATAATTGTGTTGCCACGTTGTGTACGGTGGGAGACCACATATAGTGAATGCAGGGTCCTGGGTTTAGTAACACTTTAATATAGTAGAAAGAGGAAGAATGCAATGGGGAGGTCTGATTTAAGTCATGTGTTTGATTGCTATAAGCCCAATATTGTATACAATTTTCTTTCACATAATAGGTAGGTTTTTCTTATCTTGAACAGGGAGTTATGTTAGGTTGCCAGGTTAGATTCTAATAGAGTGGAGGTCTTGCAACTGAGGCAGTATAAGGCTCGTAGCTGCAAAGGTTTAGTAGCTGTCAAATCAATTATTCTGCTGTCCATACCCCCAGACAGAAACTTGTGTTTTCCAGCCCTCGTATTCCTGAAAACTCTTTTGGCTAGAGGTTAGTCAATGCCGTACACCACCTTTCCTCGTACTCGTGACATAAGAGAAATGTGAGTGCTGCTCCCCCAGTTGTGGAGCTTTTCACACAGAACCCCTGAAGCAAGTCTGCTCTTTCCAGAACGTTTCTGTATTGAAGTCCTGTGATTTCTGCTCCCCTTTATAAAAATGTGTAGTATCAAGAAATACACAGAAAATGGAATTCAATAAGCCAGACAATGTTTTTTTCTAACCTAAACTGCAGGATTGGCCCTGGGCATTGTATTTTCTGATTTGAAGGGTTGAAAAAAATGGTTTTCATTGATATGTACTCGATTTCCGGAAAACGTACCTGTACTGTGCTAGTAAACAAACCCTATGAAGGAGCAGGCTAGAGGAGGTGGACGCTGATTTTTTTTTTTTCCACTGGTGAAGGTGTTAGGGTTGGAAGTATGATGTTTAAAGGCTAAGTTCACTTTTTTTCTTTTTTAAATTCCAGCTCCCTTAGGCACCAATATACCATTAATGTACCTCAGTTGCAAAAATATTCACACTCTCTTTGATCTGGAGAGCAAGTTCTTATCTTAGCTCTTAGTAAATTACTTAGAAAGCTTTTTCAATTCCTGGAATGTAGACAGAGGAGCCAGTAGGACCCTGAAAGCAGATTACCAGCTGATCTCATTAGCACACATCCTGCACTGACCTCATTAATACACACCCTTTACCCATCAACTATTTTTCACAGCAATATAAACACTAATATGCTCAATAATAAATAATATTAAACCTATACCCTAATTTGTGAAAAATAAAGTCCCATAAAGCAATCAAAAGCTCTCAATAAAAGTCATATGTCCCTTTGAAAAATAAGTCCAAGTGTCCAAAATTATTTTGTGTCCAAAAAAAAAATTATGTTCAAATCCTCAGCCTCTTGTAGCAACTTGATTTACCTCAAAGAAAAAAAATATAAGAGCCACATAGTGCATTATCCTTAGTAAATATAAATTATATAAAGCTCCTCCAGTGATAATTCACCCAAGTGAAAAAAAGTGTAAGCAAAAAGATATATATATATATAAAACACATGTGCAAACACAAGATGTAGTGCAAAACTGTGCAAGTGAACCACTCTTTATGTGCTCCAAACACACGACTCAGAGTACACTTCTACTAGAGTAAGGAGTCAATACCCTTACCAATGTTCCAAAACCACTTTTGCCTTAGAAACACACATCAAGAGGACTGTATGATGGGATGAATTTTTCCTCCTGCCAGTATCCTCGATTTTCACTTCCACCTCCTAACACCATGTGGATCCATCCACACTAGTGTCTCAGACCACTCTCCGACATATCCGTCATCCACATACCCAAATATAAAGCAAAATATAGTGTAATACCGCCACACACTAGATTTCAAAAGCTTTAATGGTACTGCTTACAATGTTAAAATCTTGTTTATCGCATAGTATACATAGCTTTGTTTGCCGTCACCAATCCAGGAGAGTCCAACCGCCTGTAACAGTCCGTATTCCCCTCTCCGAGATGGCCGCCACTCAACTTCCGGTTTCTCGTTTGCGTCTGACGTCACTTCCCTCTGACGCGTTTCGTCATAGGACGTATTCATAAAGTTGAGGAACCCACGCTGGACTTGAAAAAGCGCATATGCGCGAAACATGTTGTCCCAGCAACAGGCCTCCTCTTTCTAAGCTGCGGCTCCAGCGTGGGTTCCTCCCCTCCGTTTCCTTCAACATCGTGGTGACGTCACCCGGGATGCCGGGACGTCAGATACACGTGGTCCCTGCACTGACAGGCATTCATCTCTTCCACTGCTCCCCTCTGAGCGGACGGGCCGTCCATCTAGGAACCTGGCTTCTTAAAGCCACAAGCTGGTGTTTTATTCTATTATCCTGTGATGTTGTTAATAAAGGCACACCTCCATAAAAGGTGTTTCATATGACGTCAAAATTACACAGCGCCTGGCTCCTGTCTATACTCTTCATAAACCTATGTGTTTTTACCATGGCAGCAGTGAGTTTTTACCACTAATGACAGTTCACTATTTACTTTTTTCCTTTGGGACACATCTGTGTGCATTTATCCATAGTGTATGGCCACCTTTATACACCTAAAATTACCTAGTTCTGCTTCCAGTGTAATTAATTGTTAATGGCACACCCAACACAGAAACAAGCACACGTTTTGCCACGTGAAATAATGGGTGACAAATTGAGGAAAATACGCAATCAAAAATGTACAACTCTCATCACACTAAAATGTCCCATGACCTACTGTAAGGGACCGCCCGGCGGTACCACTAGCACTCCACTGATCAGGCGTCCCCAGAGCACGGAATCTAAGCCCCAGAGTACTTGTTCACCAGGGCCCCTGATGGTGGGGATGGACTTGGAGTACCCTGAGACCAGGTCGTGGCTACTGAGTATACCTGTCAGTGGTAGGGGTAGTCGCCAGGGGCTCCCACGGGGAAGAGCCTGATATGAGGAGGTCGGGTGACCCCGTTGGGATGGATGGCTGAGCAGATGAGAGGTCAGACAAGCCGGGTCGGTAACAGTGGGGACAGTGCGGTACAAAGCAGCGGGCAGAGATTAGTCGGGTCACAAGCCAGGTCAGCAACAGAAGGTCAGATCTAATAAGGGGCATCCAGGAGAGAGGTCAGGCAAGTCAAGGGTCAGAGTAGGAGAATACAGCAAGGTCAGGTACGATCCGGGTCAGTAACTTACAGGGCACAGGTTTGCAGGTTCAGGGATACAGGAGAGACCAGAAGGCACTGAATGACAGCTCAGGGCCGTTTAAATATCGCGCCCTGCGCTGTCATTGGTGCCAAGCGCACGCCCGCGGCTTCTACTGCGCATGCGCGAACTCGAATGCCGCTGCCGGCCAGGACCTAGTGCCCACGTCCCTGCACAGGGCGGCGCACTGCGCCTGCGCCGGGACCAGCGCCGCGGGGTTCCCTGACACCTACTTTGCCATGTGTAGCGGTGCAGCCCATTGAAATCAACAGGCTGCCCTATGTGTGTCACTGGAAAAAACGAGTCAAAAAACATGCACTCCCTCTACTCTCAGTGTTCATGGGGCCTGAAAGTGAAATTGGTGGGCTTACACGGAACAATGAGGCTCCATTCACATCTGTGTGTTTCCGGATGCATGGCAATCTGCACAGGAAATATGTGCTTTGCCATGCATTTAAGAAACACGCTGCAAAAGTGCATCATGTTTGTGTTGTCATTACATGTTAAAGGCACAAAAAGTGCAGCAAACACACTAAAAACTGTGGTAATACACCGCGTTCTGCGCCAAAAAAGTACTGGAGCTTTTGTGCAGCAATTGTTCCATGTATGGTAGCCCAAGTGAATGGGCTGCCCTATGCGTGACAAGTGAAAACTGTTCAAAACGCATTCATTACATGGAGAGTTGAATGGGGCCTGACAACTGAGTGTCTCCATTCACTCCTTCCTATGCGCTTGTTTAAACATGGTCATACACTATGCAATCTGATTATACAATCTCCTTTAGATTTACCAAAACTATGGAATTGAAGGACACACCTGAACAATCCATTCAATTTGTATGAAATCAGACAGGCCCCTGTACTACATAGCTGATGGGAGGAAGGTAGTATTGTAATGAAGGAGGTGTTCTCCACAGTGGTGAACAAACCCTATCACACCCTCTTCTGTGATGCAACAAAGTGAAGGGTTCTGGGAGATGGCCTACAGGAAGTGAATGCTGAGAGACCATCAACAGGATGCAATCTGAAAATCTGTGCAAATTCTCACATTACACCCCGGTCACATCAAGCCCGACTTTGAGATTGTGCGACTTACAGTCAAGTCGCACAATTTCAAAGTTGGGGGGGCATGCCGATTTCAGGTGCGCTTTGCAAGACATATGATACAGATGTCTGTGCAAATCACACAAAAAGTAGTGCATGTACTACTTTAGAAATCGGCGCGCCTCCGATCAAGTCGGAACCGCACCAATTTGACTGCTGTAATTGCGGACAATAGGGTGCGACTTGGCATATGATTTGCAAGTCGCCTGGCATGCAAATTGCATGCCAAGTCGCACCCAGTGCAACCAGGGTGTAAGCTGACAAAAAATTAAATGTCCTGTGGATGAGGTAAGTGAGGCAAAAGCACATTGGGATGGCCGGGCCAGAAATGGCATTGGAAAACATTTCAATTTATTATGAAAAGTGAAATTCTGCCCCCGAAAAGGTGAACTTATTCTTTAAAGTAAATCTATCACCTTCCCGATTCAGATAAAAGTAATAGATACACCTAATTGTTTCCCTCCTCCATTGTAGGTATTTAGAACCAAAGCCCTGTATAACACTTTGCATTTTAGAGGAAGAACGTGTCCTTCTCCTCCTCCTTCCACAATGCCTAAGTAAAAGTATTCGTAAAAGAAGAAAGCAATCCAGAGGACTTTTTTAAAATAAATGATAATAATAAAAACTCTATACATTCATAAACATTTATGCATATATGTATGAGTATGTGTATATATAAAATATACAGTGTGTATGTATATATATATATACACACATTTTTTTATGAATTTATATACTTTTTATTATTTTTTATTTTTTATTAATTTATACATTTTATATAGTTATTTAGATACGCAAGGTCATAGTCTTAGTTGTGTTTTGGCCATAACCATA